GATCCTTGTGGCGATTGCTGGTCACAGGCCTCCAGTCTGAAAAACAACCCCTCCACCATGATTCTCTGTCTCCTACCTTCAAGCCAATTTTGTATCTAATTGGCTAGCTCTCCCTAGATTCCATGTGAGCTAATCTTACTAATCAGTCCATCATGCAGAACTTCATCAAATTCTTTGACAAAGTCCACATAGACAACATTTACCGCTCCAACTTCAATCTTCTTTGTCACCGCTTCAAAAAACTCCATCAAGTTAGTGAGACATGATTTTTCATTCACAAAGCCTTGCACACTATCCCTAAATCAGTCCTTGCCTTTCCAAATGCATGAAAATCATGTCTTCAGAATCCCCTGCAACAACTTACCCACCATATCAGGCTCACCACTCTAGTTCCCTGGCTTTTCTGTACAGCCTTTCTTGGCTAATGTGGTTCCATTATTCAATCTCCAGTCCTCTGTCACCTCACCAATGGCTATCGATAATACAAATATCTCAGCAATTGGCCCAGCAATTTCTTCCCTAGCTTCCCACTACGTTCTGGGAAACACCTGATCAGGTCCCAGGGATCTACCTACCTTCATGCTTTTAAGACCTCCAGTACGTCAACTTCGGTAAAATGAACTCTTTTCAAGACATCAATATTTATTTGAAACAAAAACAGAAGTTGCTGGAAAAGCTCAGCAGGTCTGGCAGCAGAACTGAGGAAGGGTCACCGGACCCGAAACGTTAGCTCTGATTTCTCTTCAGAGATGCTGCCAGACCTGCCGAGCTTTTCCAGCAACTTCTGTTTTTGTTTGTTTCTGATTTACAGCATCTGCAGTTCTTTTGGCTTTTAATCAATATTTATTTTCCCAAGTTGCCTAGTTTCTAAGTCCTTCCCTAGCAATTGTAATTTTCCGGTTCTGAAGAAGGGTCACTGGACCCCAAAATGTTACCTCAGATTTCTCTCCACACATGCTGTTAGAACTGTTGGATTTTCCAGCAATTTCTGTTTTCGTTTGTAATTTTCTAGTGTTTCTCTTGAATTTCCTGATTTACAGTCATTTTTGAATGTTATTTGTATCCTCTATAGTGAAGATAAAATGCCTGTTTAATTCTTACATCAATATTTTCCATGAATAATCCCCCAGACTTGCTTTCCATAGGTCAAAAATTCAACTATTTTCTTTAAAATATCTATAAAAAAGTCTTAATACGGGTTTTTCTACTTCTAGTTAACTTTCTCTTGTACTCTAATTTCCCCCCCCTTATTAATCTTTGTTAATCATTGATGTTTTAAAAAAGTTTTGAATCTTCTGACCTGCCACTTACTTGTGTGCGACTATGTTTTTTCTTTAAGTTTGGTATTAGTTTTAATTTTTTTGTAACCATAGATGGTGGATTCTTCACTTTGAATTATTCGTTTTTGTTGGAATTAATCTATTGTGTATTATGAAATATCTTCTTAAAATGTGTGCCACTGCATCACTATTGATGACCAATTAACACTAATTTGCCAGTTCACTTTTGCAAGCTCTGCTTACATTTGGTTGTCTATGAATGTTCAAATACTTGGACCCACTTTCCTCTTTGCCACTGGATCTCCTGAGCAGTAGGTCTTCAGTGGTGGATTTCAGGACTCAAAATGGCTAGCAGCTTCTGGCAAAACAGATTACCAGTGTCAAGGCTTTTGATAGAGTGAGATTATCACCCTTGCTTTTGTGCAAACTCTTAATGAGTTGATTGGTTGACATTTGTGAAAAGCTAAATGGAGAGATTCTACAGACGTTGGTTGAGGGACTTCCTTCTATGTTGTAGCAATTCTATGATTCATTTCAGAGTAAAATAAAAGAATTCAATGAAAAACAGCAAAAAATTTAAGATTTTTCACAACAACTTAGTTAACAGCAGGAACTCTGAAATAGGAAGATCCTGTCCTACTAACCAATTTCTTCAAGGAAGAGGGGACGGTCTGTGGGAAAGACAATGGGGTGGCATACCTACACTTCCAAAATGCATTTGGAAAAGTTCCCTACAAAAGCTCCTGGTTAAACTCAACATATTAACATTGAGGGCATACTTCAAACCATAAGAACATATGAAATAGGAACAGGAGTAGAACATTTGGCCCTTCAAGCCTGCTCTGTAATTTAATAAGATCACAGCTGATCTGACACTCCTCATGGCCACTTTCCTGCCCTTTCCCTGTAACTTTCAATTTCCTTGATGATCAAGAATTGATCTTAGCTTTAAATATACACAAGGACTCTACCCCCACAGGTCTCTGTGGCAAGGAGCTCCAAAGAGTCCCAAACCTCAAGACAAAATTCCTCATTAGCTCACTCTTAAGACTATGCTTTCTAGTCCTAGATTCTTCCACCAGGGGAAACATCCTCTCAACATTTACCCTACGAAATGTACACGTTTCCAAAGAGAACCCTCTTCATTCTAAGCTCTAGTGAGTTGAGTCCCAACCTATTTAGCCTTTGCTGATAAAGAATCTCTCACCCTAGTGAACTTTCTCTTAATTGCTTCCAATGAATAAAATATTGAACACTAATTACAGAAGTGATGTCTACATGATGGACTTTTTTCAATTTACTTTACTGTATTTGCTACACAAGTGGCCTCTGCTACGTTAAAGATTAAAAGTTGATTATGTACAATGATCACACAACTCCTCTGTTCAGCCTACAAATGTAACCCCAAGCTTCTAGTCACCTGCCATTTTAATTCACAGCTTCACTCCCACACTGACCTCTCTGCTCTTAAGTTTCCTACACTGTTCCAATGAAGCTTAGATACAAGCTCAAGTAGTAGTGCCTTATCTTTTCAATTAGGCACTTTACAGCCTCTTGGACTCAAAAACTGAAAAAAATCTCAAATCATAACTTCTGCTCCCATTGTGCTGTGTTTTAGTTTTGATTTGGAATGGTAGTTGCTGATAATTCTGTTTTTCAATCCACTCTGCCATTAGATCCATTTTCTTCATCTTCCCATCATCCAGAATACATTGCATATCATCCATTTTTATCATTAAACACTCCTGGTCTTCTATTCTATTGCAGATCTTCTCTTCTTCCACTCAACCCTCCTTCCATACTTGTATGTGCAACCATAATAGGACTTCTACTGTTTCTACTGTATGTAAATAAAGTGAGTTTGGTAACTCAATGCAAAGTAAGCAGTAGATTCTGAAGCAGCAGCTCAGAAATTAAATGATTAGTAGGTTGGCATATGCAAGTTGGAAGAGAAACAGAACCAAGAACACTTATTTATAATTACACTTTTCAGAATTTCCAAAAATTTTCAAAGTACTTCAGACCTATCATTCGAATCATTGACTACAAAACACAATAAAATAACAGTACCAATGTGCGCAGCAAGATCCCATAAACAGCAACAAGCAATTAATCTGTTTTAATTGTGTTTAATTGACCAATAAATATTAAGCAACAGATATTTAAGGATTTTGTGTTGCAATAGCCATGTCCCAACCTTTGGGTCAGAAAGTATGGGCTCATGTCCCAAGTCAGAATGTGCTGGCTGTGGAGGTGTACATCATATCCAAACAGATTGATTTTTTTTGGCCAGCAGGTAGCTAACGTTATTAAGTGAAGGCTGTCATTCAGACAGACAAATGTAAAGTAGCATACATAAGCAAGAAAACAAAATGACACGTTCTCAAAATGATAGAGAGGATCAAGTCAAAGTTCGGACAAAAAGATATTCAGGAGGCTGAGCAAGTTTAAATATCATCAGATCTAACATTTGCCCTACCTTAGTTCATCCAACCAACAACCTTTCTTGCCTATGGCAACATCCAAAAACATGAGTACAGCTGTGAACCAGCAAACCCTTGACCACTTGTACTTTACATGACTCAATGGGCAAATGCAGCACCTGGTGGATACAGTCCTTTACACATCCTAAGTAGATTCCATTCCCAGTAGTTGCAACCTTGGTTGCTTAATTAGTGCAGACGTAAGGGTGCTACAACTGACAGTAATTTCCCCCAGGACAGGTTGTCCATTACTGCTCATTTTCCATCAATTCCTAGAAAGGTTGTGATTAGACACCAGATCAACAGAACCACTATTGGCTGTGGTGCTGCCTACAGTCAAATATTTTGTCATTCATTTTCTAGGTACACACTACAGATAATCATTATGTGAGGTATTGGAGAAAAGCTGTCATCCACTGAACTGCATCTTCCAAAGACAAGTGGGGAAAATGTTAGCACAACAGCAGATTGTGGATTGGTGCTGAGTGACTCAGAATATTCCATGTAGCTGTAGCAAGAGGATTCCCAGATTACATTTTAGATATGGAAGCATCACTATCCAAGGAGAATGTAAGAAACATGAAACAATTGGGATAGTATATAAAGAGATGAATGGCATGAGATATATTTGTTTAAATATCCATTATTTGGCATTTAACTGATTGTTCTTCAGTACAAAGGCTCATTAATGACAAGGTGAAGCTAATGCAAAAAAAATTAACAAAACTACTTGAGAAATCTGATCCATGCAGGTCAGCAGGAAAGACAGGGGATTTAAAAATCAGGACATGGAGAATTTTCCAATTAAATATTTATTTGCCTTCTGAATTCTATAATACAAATAATGAAAAAAATCTTCATATATTAGATCTTGTGCCAGTTAAAGTTCTTGAAAGAATGTTCACAAGGATTTTTTTTTAAAAAAGATATGCTAATTGTTTATAAAACTGGCTGAACAATATATGCAACCAAAGAGCTTAGATAACGACAGCTATCTGCATAGCCATCGTGTCAGGAATACAACTTTGTAATGCATACACACACACACACACAGTAACGTTTGGAAAAGTACCGGGGAAGTATTAATAGGTTTTTCTGTTGTTTGCGCTCGAACAAGGGGGTCCCACCACATTGGTGGCTCAGATTTCGCTCAGCCAGCTTTATCCACCCCTCGTGAGCCAGGATACGATAATACATTTTAAGCATTTCTTAGTCATTAAAATAAAACAGAAGTTACCTACAAATCAGAGGTATTTGTGGAGTTACAAATCTCGGATGCTGGTCTGGTTTCCACAATCCTTTGTTTTTAAACAAACTCTGTTCTGCGACGTGTTTTGCTTCCTCTTCCTAAGTACAAGAATAAGATGAGTTTTAACTAAAGAGAAAGAGTGTTAATTATTTTAATGGTAAAAACAATCAAGATTTAAGATGAAGAGAGAGTCTGAGATTTCGCTCTTAAATGCGGAAGTTCAGGCACAAAAATGTCAGAAATGAGAGCGATGCCCTGCCTGCCACATTTCTGCCTTTGTCATAGCAAAGCAACAACTGGCAGCGAAAAAAAGTTTGAATTGACTCAAACTTACCTTTACTAAATGGAGAGGCAGTTCACTGGTAAACGGTTCAAGCCAGCCGCTTTTGGGGGCTGTCAGCAGCTTTCTTTCCAAACTGATTTTTTGGAGATGAAGTATTTTGGAAGCTGGACTGGTGACAGGTTCAGGAAAAATTTCAGGAATGAGCGGCTGGAATGAAATTAACGCGATGAGTCAGTGGAGGAGGAGCAGCCAGCTTCACGTACACTGGTCAGGGACGACTTTGGTTTCTAATTCATGAACAAAGCTGTAATCTAGTGGGGAAAAGGAGCTCATAACGGAAACCTATTATTCTGATGAGCATTTGCGACTGTGATGTCAATTTTGGAGGGATTTAAGATTGAATGGGAAAAATGCAAGCATTACACTCGGACTTTTGAATGAGTGCATTTGCTCCTTACTGTGCGAACTTAGGCATTGAGTTTTTCAGGTTGCTATAAGATAATAGCTGTATTTATATAGCGCCTTTCAAAAGCCTTTACGGACAATTAAGTAACGCTGAAGTGTAATCATGGCTGTAATGGAGAGAACGGGCAAAAAAAAAGTACGAATTATGTCCTTGAGGCTCCGACTGCGAACGGAGATCAAGTTCCAGGTCTGACAAGCACCGCCTAGCTCAGCCTCGGGCGATTCAGACTAATTGGCTGTGGACTGCATTTGAAAAAAAAACTATTTTCAAATCAACCAATTCAGACATGTTATGACAAACCTCTGGAGCAGGTGAGACTTGAAACTAAGCCTCCAGGGCCAGAGGTAAGGACAACACTGCTGCACCACAAGAGGTGCATCTATTGCTTTTCTGATGAAGGGTCTAGGCCCGAAACGTCAGCCTCTCTGCTCCTATGATGCTGCTTGGCCTGCTGTGTTCATCCAGCCCTGCACCTTGTTGTCTCATCTATTGTTACCTCCGGCTTAATGTTCAACATTTGTAAGTCCCTGATCAAGGGACTGATTTGGTAGTGAACTAATACAATTATCCCTCTTGATTCCTTGCTATTACCTCCCACCCCAAAAAAATGATCACGAGGCCTGCGCACTGAACGTACGCGCCATGCGAATGAAATCGGGATCTCACTCTCATTAATACATTTTAAACAAAATTAGGGATAAGATAGGCAGGTTCTGGACAAAATCAGCGTTGAGCAGTCAGCATAGTTGTGATCAACTTATTAAAAGGATCCAGAAGCACTGCTGCCTCACAGCGCCAGGGACCCGGGTTCCAATCCGCCCTCCTTGGCGACTGTGTGTGGAGTTTGCACATTCTCTGCGTCTGCTGAGGTTTCCTCCCACAGTACAAAAATGTGCAGGTTAGGTGGACTGGCTATGCTAAGTTGTCCATAGTGTCCAGGGATATGGGAAATGCAGGGATAGGGTCTGTGCAGGATGCTCTTTAGAGAGTTGGTGTGGACTCGATAGGTTGAATACCCTATAGCACAAGCAGTTAGGTCAATTTTCTTTTGAAGAAAACCCGATGGAGGTCTCTAAAACCAGTGGTGTTGTATGGGTAGATGCGGAGAAGTGGTTTTCACTTGTGGTAGATTTGAAAACTAGGCTTCACAAATGCAACATAACTACTAACAATCCAATAGCAGAGGCGTCTTTATGTAGAGTGATTGGAATGTCGGACCTGCTGAGGCTATGGGAAGTGGTTGATTAAAAATAAACACTTTCCTCAACAAAGGGTACAGAAATAGGAATAAAGGAATATGCTGAAAGGAGGCTCCTGTGGAATATAAATGGTGCAGACCAGTTGGGCTGAATGGTCTGTTTTTGTGCTGTATGCATATTTACATTAAAAAAACACTTGCCCTGACAACCCTAGAAAGGCTGATTATCATATCCCTTCAGATGGGTAAGGCGGCAGACTGATCACTACGAATGAGTTTTAAAAGTCCTTCATTCTGCAAAAGTGCTATAGATGTTTGTAGATGCTTATGATATTGAAACAAAATAATGACAGAAAATACTTGTTGATTCTTAATATTTCAACCTTCCATTAAAACAAACCGGGAAACTGAGAACCATGATGGTGCTCTTTTCAACTGAATGATCTCGGGAGAAAAAAACAGCATGTTGAAAATACAAAAGAATTTTAGTGAAAATTGTAAATATTCAAGTGATCTTCAAAGAATGTGACAAAATTTAGGTTCAGGTGCACTTGAACAAAATAATGTACCAAAAAGGGGGTAGGGTGAAAAAAAATTAAAATAGACCTAAGCATTGTTTTAAAAAAAAAGTGAAACTTAGAGGGAGAATGGGAGGTAAGCAAGACAGATAGATAGAGAGGAAATTATCAAATAAGTTAATGAGAAAGAAGTGGCGAGTAAATAAAAGATAGTGACAAGAACAAAGAATAAAATAAATAAGGACAAAATAAAATCCAAGGAGAGTGATAAGAGAGAGTGAGAATTGAAAATGAGGAATATTGAGACACAAACAGCAACTTGATAACGGAAGCAGCTGCACTGCAGGCATGCCTTGAGTTTAGGTTTCAAAGGTGCTGTTTTATTCCCTCTCCTTGGCAACTGTCTTAGGCTGAAGGAAAGTGTTCATAAACTCAGCATCATGCTTGACCTCAATGAGCTCTGACCACATCCAAATCATTACTAATACTGCCTATTTCTACCTCTGCTTACTGTCCAACTCCAGCCTTGCTTAACCTGTGACTGAAATCCTGATCCATGCCTTGACTATTTCAATACTGACTAATATGCCATGATCTACCTTTTGTAAAATTGAAATCATCCAAAAATCTGCTGCTCATGTCCTTACAGATCTTATTTAACTTTTATCCCCTTGCATGCCGACCTGAATTGTACCTGGAACAATCCTTGTTCCTGTCCTATTCTGGGTCCCACCCCCAACACTTTTCTCCAATATATCAATGATATCATTGGTGCTGCTTCCCCTCTCTCATCAGGAATTGGAAAGGCTGATTGATTTTGCTTCTAATTTCCACCTTGCCATCATTTTCACCTGGTCCATCTCTGACTCCTCCCTTCCTTGACATCTGTTTCTATTTCTGGGGATAGACTGGCCACTAATATCCACTATTAACCCACCGATTCCCACAGTTACCTGGGCTACACATCCTCGCACCCTGCTTCCTGTAAAGACTCCATTCCATTCCATTCTCCTAGTTCCTACATCTCCGTCACACATGTTCCGGTGATGTCAACTTTGATAAGAAAGCCTCCAAAACGTCCACTTTCTTCCTCAGCTGGGTCCGACCCATCTCCTACACTTCTGCCCTCACCTCCTCTCTTCCCTCCCACAACAGTGTTAGGGCTCCCCTTGTCCTTACCTACCATCCCACCAGCATCCACATCCAGAAAGTCATTAGCCACTATTTCCACCACCTCCAGTAAGATGCCACACCAGGCACATATTCCCCTCCCCTGACTGCTGTCTGCAGGTACTGTTCCGTTCAGGATACCCTGGTCAACTCTTCCTTCACTCCCAACAGATCCTCACAGCACCTTCTCCTACAATCACCAGAGCTGTAACACTTGCCCATTTAGCTCCTCCCTCCTCAGCATCCAAGGGCCCAAACATACCTTCCAGGTGAAGCAGCACTTTACTTGCACAATCCAGTCTACTGCATTAGCTGCTCACAATATGGTCTTCTCTACATTGGGGAAAAGAAGTTTAGACTGGGTGACTGCTTCGCAGAACATCTACATTCTGCTTGCAAAAAAGACCCTGAGCTTCCAGTTGCCTGCCATTTCAACACACCACCCTGTTCTCTGGCTAATATCTCTGTCTCAGGCTTGCTGCAGTGCTTCAGCAAAGTTCAGTGTAAGCTGGAAGAACAACACCTCATTTTCTGATTGAGGACGCTGCAGCCTTCTGGACTCAGTGTGAAGTTCAATAACTTCAGGGGTTGAATTCTGCTATGTCCTAGCCCCACTCCTACACACCAGGCCTCGTGATCACAGTTGGCTGTTACACATAACCGATTGTTAGCTACTAACAGTCTCCATTAACAGCTATGCACCCTCCTAGCCAGATCATTATCCACTCCTTTGTCTGTCCAACTGTTCTTTCCTCTTTGGGCTGTACCTCCAAATCACCTATCTTCTGCATAAAAACTGACATTTTCCAAGCTACCATCAGTTCTGAGGAACAGTCACAAGACCCAAACTGTTAACTGATTTCTCTTCACAGATGCTGCCAGGCCTACTGAGCTTTTCCAGCAACTTCTGTATTTGACCAGAATTGTATCCTGGTTAAAACAACATTTTAATTTAAAACTTGACCCTTGTTTTCAAAATCCATTGTCTTCCCACATCTGCAATCTCTTCTAGCTCCTATCCTTTGAAAGGTGTTCCTTTAATCCTGGCCTTTTGCACATCTTCAGTATCAAGTGCTCTTCTATTGGTAGGATTGCCTTTAGTTGCCAAGGCCCTACAACCTGGAATTAGTTTCTGAAACACCACCTTCTCTCCTCCCTCTTAAAATGTTGTTAAAATCTCTTTCTCTTAAGCCAAGCTATTAGTCAGTTGCTTTAATAGTTTCTTATATAGCTCGGAGTTAAAGGCGTTATATGCCTAAAAATTATCATTGTCACCCTCTCTGGCAGCATTGCTTGAATTCAATTACATTACACCTAGTCCACGGATGGAAGTTAAAATAATCAAGAAAGTGAATTGGAATAAGAAAGAATATGCCAGAAAGTGAAACAGAAGTGTAACTTCTGTATTTCCTTCACCACTTTTGGGAATGCCAGTCAAACTTTCAAAAATACTCTAATCTTGAGCTAATTTTACAAAGGGAGCGTCTCTCCCAGCAGGCCAAGTCTCTCCCACACATTTTCTGCATCCGAGTCAACTTTTGAGACAAATGTCCCTGTATCTTGTACTCGATCCCTTAAATAGCCACTAGAACCTTCAAAAATAATACCATTCACACAATTATTTACCATCATATACTGCTTATACCGTATAAATGGGAACTGCTTGTGCAAAGTCACGCTGCAGTTACACGATGCCATAATAGTGGTACCGACAGCTCTCAGTTTCAGGTCTTCTATGCCTTGGGTGTCAACTCCAATTTCCAACAGCCAGTTTTAGCAAAATTACAAAAACAGAATGTAGGACTTTTAAAGAACTGAATTACGTTTGTGAATTCTGGTCCAATTATCAGCCACTCTTTTTCACTTGGTCTCTATTCTCTAATGTGCAACACCTGAATGCATCGATTAATATTCGCCCATAATACCTTCACACTGCAACCGAAATTTCCATAAACTAAAATAAAATTTAGTTGACAAGAGAAAAGGTCACAGGACGTAGGCAAGTCACATCAATTAGCCTTTTCAATGATTTGCTGTTTGATCCCTTTGTTGTATGGTTGTTGCTAGGAGACCTGTTGAGTCCCTCCTCTGTGACGTCAAGGCTGCTCTGGATGGAAGGGGAAGCGAGCAGCCTCTGATTCTGGAACGCAGACCAAGGTGCATCATTCAAACCAGGAGAAAAACCACGCGAAGTGTTGAAGGAAACAGACACTCGGGTACCTCTGGTAACTCTTTTGCTGAACAAGAAATGATGCTGTATTTGGCTCTATTTCTCTTCCTGCCCTTCGCCACAGCCGCTCCTGCAGCCTTGGTAAGTGAAGGGGCAGCACGGAGTAAAGATTTTTCTGATGAACACGGAGAAGACGACAGGATAGAAATAGGTGAGCTGGAGAGGTTTCAATCAATTTAGCGTTTTTATGAAATAGATGTATTACAAATAATGAAAACAGAACACTGCAAAGTTCAAGAATACTGGATTGTCGGCGTGAGGGATGTAAGGACAGTGGGGTGGGGTTGTAATATTTACTCAGTGGAGTAGATTTGTCTTGTGTATATTACATCTTTCCTTATCCTGAGAGCATAAATCGAAAGCAATGATGATAGTCTCAGGAGTAAAATGACCACCACAATTACAATGAAAGATTTCAGCACCCAGCAGAGTGACTTGGATAACACTTTAAGGAGGGAGTGACTGACTGTCTTTAATACAAATACTACTGTTGGAAACAAACTCCCTGAAATAAAACAAAACTCATGAAACGAGGTATAATAAGTACTTGGTTTGGATAGTCATGGTTAATGTTTGCAAGAATTGCTAGTATCTCTTAGTTTGACACTGTTTCACTGTTAAGAATATTTTGCTTTAATTTGTATTTAATTTAAAACTGCTGACTTATTCTTTTTGTTTTGCTTTACAGATATAGGGAAGGAGGGCATCATTTCCATTGAGAGGGCACCTCTAGTTGGTTATCAGCCTTGTTGGAATCGTTTGCTACCTCAAGTCTACCACCTTGAATGCAACACAAGTGGTCATTTTTCAGTTAAATCTGAACTGTTGACAACAAAATTCATTTCATGACCTCGCAGTAGCTGCCCCAGTGTCACAGCAGTTTCCTCATGACATCATAAAGGAGCTGGGCTGTCCTACCACCACTATCAGCTACTGTTCCCCTTCAATATTTTAATCTTAGTGAGGGCGAATGAAGACCAATGTTACATGACTAGTAGAATACCTGACCCAATGATTTTAGAAGTTTACTTACTGTCACAAACTTTAAGTTACTGAAAAGGTGCTCAGTGGATTAGACAAAAGTGCTGATTCAATTTTCAAGTGATGTAATAAACATCTTGTGTGAGTTGGCTAGGGACAAAACAGAGAATAGTGCTGAACAGCTGGTTATTAAATTGGAAGAAACTACAGTGATGTCTCCAGGGGGTTTGGAAGTAGAACCACAACCCATTTTATATGCATGGTCTGAAAATGTGTATACAGGGCATAATTTTAAAGTATCCAGACGACACAAAACTTGGAATGTAGAAATGATAAACTGGAGATTTATGGAATGATTTTAGGGTTGTCAGACTTCAGTTAATTAGAGAGATGAGAGAATTTGGGTTTGTATCCATGCAGCAAGAACAATAAAGTAAGATTTAATATAAAAGTTCACACTGTGAAAGGTTTTGATAAAAGTAAACTAGGAGAAGCTATTCCCAATGACAGGTGAGGAGGTCAGCACAGATTAAGGTAACTGTCAAAATAGCCAGAGAGGAGATGAGATTTTTTTAAATGCAATGAATTATGATGATCTGGGTTGTGGTGCCTGAAAGGGTGATGGAAGGAGATTGGATAGCAATAGTCAAAAAGAATTAGATAAGTATTTATGGACAAATTTGGAGTGCTAAAAGGTAAGAGCGATAGAGTAGGACAATTGGATATTGTTTTCATTGATGTTGCATTGACATATATGATGGCCAAATTGCTTCTTCCTGTACTGTATGATTCTATGAAGTTGGAGTAGTTTGCATTAGCCATCTGAAATCTGAGATATAATTACAATGTGGTTTAAGTTTGGTTTCATTGAGACACCTTGTAAGACATACCCGAAGCACTTTTCATCAACTGGTAGTCCATTTAAAAAATTGTAAGTTGCCGTGGCGTTATCACATATGCATGATGTGTTCACCTACCTACCTGAACGTAAATCCCAAATTTGTCAGTATTAGTGAGTAATGTCAGATCAAAGTTATTAAATGAATTCCTATAACTACTTTGACATTTATGGGGGATTTCATCATTGAAGCTAAATACTGAAATCATAATCCTGTTCCTTTACATGTGGGGCAACTCATTCCTCTCTTCAAACAGATTCTGAAGAAGAGATATAAAATTTTAGACATTTTAGTTCTCTTGTATAACTGTAGTTTAGTAATTTCACCGCTAAAATTGCAGTGGTTCAAGAAGATAGCTCACCACCATCTTCAGAAGGGCAATTAGGGACGGGCAATAAGTGCTGGTATAGCCAGTAAAGCTCACATCCCCTGACTGGATTAAAAAAAAAGGTAATGTTTAGCCTGAGACTTGGGGTTGACTCCATTTTTTTGTGTGTATCACTTTATAGTGAAGACTTCTGGTTTCACTTTCCTGGATCACATAACAGTAGATAGCTCTGTTTAAAATGTTATAGTCTTGAGGATACAGAACGTGAAATGAAATACCAGCCAAAAATTGTTTTTTATCGATTTTCATTCTCCTGTGTTAGTGCACAGACAGTTGTGACAAGACATTGTGTGTGAGGCAATTGAATGCAACAGAGAGCCTCCACGCCTCTTGGTCCCAACCTTATTTATGTTGCTACGGGAAGACGTTGAGCACAGACTTTCTCAAAGGGAAATCACAAACACTACTACAATACTAATACCAGACTGGGTGATCATGAGTAGCTTGTCTACATGTCTGTTCATTGTGTGGTCCTCAAAGCTATCCAAAATATAATGGAGAAAATCAAATGACTTTATCCTGTTAAACATGTAAGGTTATTCAAATTTATTTTTAAAAAAACTTTGCTGTTTTCTATTTTTCACAAGATAGATCCTGTTTGTATTTGGCTTTAGCTCGCAAGGATTCAATTGTACTCTTTGCAGATGTTTAATCAATAATTAAAAAGATGGTAATGATATCACAAACAATAAATGTGATTCAATTCTAATTTTTTTTGGAACATTGTACAACATTTCAGGAGGCTAAAAGTGACTCAGATGGTTTTGTGAAGGTGGTTGACTTTGACAGCCTGCCCTTAAATTACCACGATGAGGAAAATGAAGAAGAATTGGTTGGAGACAAAATCTTCCACAAATACGAAAAAATTGATAAGGTAAGCAAAGATCATATTGATGCAATAGGTGGGAGATGAATAGTAGGGCCACAATTTCATAATATGTTTGATATATGATCAGCGACAAACTTCTGCCTGTGAAAGCATAACTGGCTTCAAAGTGCTAATCAAAAATTTAAGATTTTATCTTGTAGAATAAGAATGAATGTGAACAAAAGTGAATGGGAAAACTTTTATTAGCGTGACAGTGGTATCCCCATTATCAACATCCTGGGGTATACCATTGAACAGAAACACAACCAGACTTGCCATATTAATCCAAGAGCAGGTCAGAGGCCAGGAATATTGCAGTGAGTAGGTCGCCTCCTGACTCCCAAAGCCTGTCCACCACCTACAAGGCACAAGTCAGCAGTGTGATGGAATACTCCCCACCTGTCTGGATGAGTGTAGCTCCAATAAGAGTCAAGAAGCTTGACACAATCCAGGACAGAGCAGTCCACTTGACTGGTACCACATTCACAAATATTCAGTCACTTCACCACCACATTCTGTAGTAGCAGTGTGTAGTCTTTACAAGATGCACTGCAGAAATTTGCCAAAAATCCTTGTACAGCACGACCCATGACCACTTCTGCCTAGAAGGACAATGGCAGCAGATACATAGCAACACTGTCATCTGCAAGGTGCCTCCTTGCTACTCACTATCCTGACTTGGAAATATATTGCCTTTCCTTCACTGTCACTGGATCAAAATCCTGGAATTCCTTCCCTAAGAGCATTGTTGGTGTACTTATAGAACATGGACTGCAGCGGTTCAAGAAGAAGCTCACTATCACTTTCTCAAGGTCAGCTAGGGAAGGGCAATAAGTGCTGGCCCAGACAGAGATGCCTACGTCCAATGAGAAATCAGATTAAAATAAGGATAATTAAATGGAATGAGGATAGAGTTGGCTGGAATGGACTGGAAAAAGAGGTAAGCAGAAAAGACAGTAGATGAGCAATGGCGGATGTTTAAGAAAATAGTTATGTCACTCCAACAAAGATATATTTTAGTGAGGAGAAAGGATTCTAAAAAGGGATTAATCAACCATGGTTAATCAAGGAAGTTAAGGATAGCCTCAAATTGAAAGAATGGACATAGAATTGGAAAAGTTTTGTGGTATGACAGAGAATAAGGAACACTTGAAAAACCATGAAAGGTGACCAAAAACAAAAGGAAGTAAATATGCTTTGAGGGTAATCCAACATGTAATATAAAAAGGATCGTTAAGAGCTTCTTTAAACATATAAAAAGGAAAAGAGGCCAAAGTAAATATAGGCCATACAGAATGAAGCTGGGGAAACAATAATGGGGAACCATGAAATGGCAGAGAAGTTGAATAAATACTTTGCATCAGTCTTCATGGTAGAAAATACAATTCGCATTCCAAAAATACTAAATAAGCAAGGGGAAAATCGAGGGGAAGAATGAAATACAACAACTATTGAAGGCACCAGAAAAGTCCAGAGAATTGGAAAACTGTCAATGTTACACCCTTTATCAGAAAAGGAGGGAGACATAAATCAGATAACTGTAGGGAAGTTAGCTTAACATTTGTCATTGAGAAAATGTTAGAGTCTATTAGAAATATGTTATGGCAGAGCATTTAGAAATACATTATATAGCCAAGTTGAATCACCATGGCTTCATAAAGAGGAAATCATGCATGACAAATTTAGTTGAAATTTTTGAGGAGGCAACAAGCAGGATAGATAAAGGGGAATCGGTAGATCTTTTTTTTGGATTTCTAGAAGGTATTCAATAAGATACTGCATGTAAGTCTACTTAATAAATTAAAGCCCAGGGTGCATACTATTAGCATGAATAGAGGATTGACTAAAAAACAAGACAAAGATTGGGATAAAGGGGGCATTTTCAGGATAGAAACTTGCAACTAGTGAAGTGCCACAGGGATCAGTACCGGGGCCATAATTATTTACTATATATTACATTCCGGGTGAATGTACTATCACCAAGTTTGAAGATGACTTAAGAATAGGTATAAAGGCAAGTAGTGAGGATAACACAGAGTCTGCAGAGGAATACAAGCAGGTTAAATAAGTGGGCAGAAACTTGGCAGATGGAAAATAATGTGGGAAAATTGAAGTTATGCACTTTGGCAGGAAGAATAGAGGAGCTGACTGCTGTTTAAATGAGAAAAACTACAGAAAGCTACAGTACCCAGGAATTAGGGGATCCTTAAGTATAAATCACAAAAATCTAGCATACAAATTAGTAGGTAATAGGGAAGGAAAATGAAATGTTGGCCTGTAATTCATAGAGAATGCTGTACATATGAAAAACATAAATCTTTCTAAAACTAAATAAGGCACAAGTTAGACCATACTGAGAAAACTGTGCACAGTTTTTGGCTTTATCTAAGAAAAGACATATGCTAACACTAGAGGCGGTGCAGAGAAGGTTCACTAGGTTGATCCTGTGCACGGAAGGACTTTTACTATGAAGAGAGGTGGAATAGGTCAGGCCTGTACTCATTGGAGTTCAGAAGAATGAGAGGGAAACATATTCAAACATCTAAGATCCTTAGGGGACTTGACAAGGTAGATGTGGAGAAGCTGTTTCCCCTGGATGAAGAGTCTAGGACCAAAGGGCATAATCTCAGAGTAAGGGGTCATCCATTTAAAACAGACTTAAGGAGGAATTTCTTCTCTCAGAGAGTAGTAATCTGGGGAATTCTTTACTACAGAGGGCTGTGAGGCTGTGTTATTAAGTATATTAAAGGCTGAGGCAGACAATCATTTGGACCTTGCGGTCCACGAGTGTGATTGAAAGAAATCAATGATTTTAAAATGAAATCAGATATAAGGAAATAAACTTTCAGGGCTGTGGGAATAGAGCAGGTAAATGCCTAATTCAGTAGAGGTGTAGACACATTGTGATTGTGCTAGACTGATGGAATTACGTGTGGAGAATGTAATTGATGCAGGACATAGAAAAAGTGTAAATAATTATTTGACTTTGGCCTAAAATCGGTCATCCAAGCATTGGAATTAGGTACAGAAGTAGCCCAACCAGCCCTTTATGCCTGCTTTACCACTCGGTAAGATCAAGGTTGATACCATGACTCGACATTCTTGTCTTCAAAGGTTCTATCTCTACTGCCTTCTGAGGAAGTGTTCCAGGCTATCAATCCTCTGTGAGAAATAATTTCTACTTTTCTCTGTCTTAAATGAGTGACCCCTCATTTTAGATTCTCCCAAGAGGATGTTGCAGTACTATTCAGAATACCAGGTGACTTTTGTTTACAAGTAGTCTGGTATTTGAAATGTAGTTAAGATTTTTAGCTATCAAACTGGGTTTATGTTTGATTGTGGCTTATTATTTAAAACCTTAAAGTGCATACACTGGCAAAGTTTAGCTGTTATTTCTGAGAAAAGTTTTTATAATTTGGTAGCTACCTGTATATTCCTAGCTTTGGGACAGTCGCTATGGTCAGACAAGGCAGCCAGAAGTGATGGTCTTTCTTCCCCTTTTTTTAAAAAAAATGCAGTTGTGATTTTGTACAGCACAGAAGAAAGCCATTCAGTCTGTTGTGTTCACGCTGGTTCTCTGTGTTTCTGTGTCTAATTTTAGCTCCATATCTATCTCTTTCTCTATCGATTTGCAAATTAGTCGTCTCCAAATACATGTCTGATTAACTTTTTGAAGTTCCTATGAATTTTTTTCCATCATCCTTTCATGTGGTACAATCCATATTTTAACAGCTCTGTGTGAAAATATTCTCCTTTCCTTCTACTTCTTTTGATAATTGTTTTAAATCTGGTTAGCTATCCATTTGCCGGAAGAAACAAATTCTCTTTATTTGCTCTTCTGAGGTCCTTCATACAAACAGTGGTTTGGTTGTATAGTACCTGAGTATTGCTGAAAACAGGAAAACATGCCATTGGAATGATTCATTTTTCACTCATCAGGACACAATTGCAAGAATGCCCAATTTTAAAGGGAAGAACAATTTATATGGCATGTCTTTTTTTTTTTCAATTAAAAACTTGGATTTTGAATCTGTCTATATTAGATCTCCCTGCCTTTCTGTTTTAAAGAAATAATCCTAACACCCCCAATTTCAATACATAATTGTTATCGCCCTGTAAATCACCCCTGTACTCCCTTCCTAATGTGTGGTGTCTAGAATTATGCACAATATATATGGGAGCTTGTGGATGCCAGTACGATCCATGGTAACTACATCTACAGTAGGTGCTGGCTACTCCAGGAACTTTGATTCAAGGTTGATGAACTTAGGCACTAGTTGCGAATGTTGCAACATATCAGAGTGGGTGAAAGGTAACTACACCAGTGCTCTTGTCTCAGTTCTTGCCCTTGATGTGAATGTTGAAACACTCTTAACTTAAAATTTGGAATTAAAAAATATCATTTGGCCCAGTGCCACTCTTTCTTCAGGTGTTATCATAATTCAAACCAATCAATTTATTTGTCTCCAGGCATGTCCTCAATCAGCATGCCTTGACCACCACATATAACCAAGAATAACTTGAGAATATTAATTCATCCTAACAGACTAACTTTTCAATATTGGCCTATTGCTCCCAACATGCTGAGTGTTCTACTAGCAATTATGTGTATACTGGAGTTGCTTGT